CAACAAAAAAATAGCCAGGCATTGTGGCAGGCGCCTGTCGTCCTGGCTACTTGGGAGGCTGAGGCAGAAGAATTGCCTAAGCCCAGGAGTTGGAGGTTGCTGGAGTGACTCCATTGCACTCTACCGAGGGCGAAAAAGTGAGACTGTCTCTACAAAAAAAAAAAGAAGTAGTTGTGGAGTTTTATGAGGAGTGGCTTTTAACAAGTAGCTTGCTGCTGTTCTCAAGATTTTCCTTTGTTGCAAAAGTGGCCTTTCTCATAAAATTTTAAGCTTCTGATATGAGCAGGTATAATAAAATCCTTCTATTTGTCTCTTTGCTTTCCTTGGAATTTGATTATACTATATACCGTTCATATCCCATTCTCATAAATGAGGAGATGTAATGTGGACAGAAGGGTTAATATCTTCTTATCCTTTCCCCAAATTTCTCCTATACCTCTTGGGTATCCAGTGTCCTGTTACCCTCACCTGCTCAGGACCTTCCCTGGGCTCTCCAGCAGAGGATGAGTTCTGCCACATGTAGTCAGTGCTCTTTGTGCCATTTCTTGAAAAGCTTGGAAGATGTTGTCATTAGTATTAAAATGACATCTTACTGTATTTCTTATAAAGAAGCCCAAAGAGCTAACATAATTTTCTTTTTTTTTTTTTTATTGAAGGCTTTCTGTTTTATTTTGTATGTGTCAGACTACATTATTTTTTGATTGAGGAATCAATCTGATCCTTCCATAAGGAAAAGTATTTAAAAAGTGCTTAGAGGCAGGGGATGAGGACTGTCCTGATAGGGATCAGGAAAGATGATGCCCCAGAAGAAGGTAGGCATGTGGGAAGTTTAGAAGCTGATGAGTAGAATGTTGGCTCAGTGAGATTTTAATAAGGTGCTAAAAGCTTATTGATTATTGATTATATCTTAACTTTTAGAAGTTATGTTGGAATTTAGATTGCCATGAGATTTAAAAAAAAATGATATTATGCCCATGGTTCTCTAGAATTTCGGGATCCTGAGCCATCTCACTGATATCTGTACCTTTCCCCACTGGGTTTTAGAATGATATATTTTCACAAGGAACAATGACCAAAAAAAAAAAAAGTGACACTTTGTTCTTGACTAGTACCTGGAACTTCAGTGTAGAGATCTCTGGCAGTCTGGGCTGGAGTGTTATAGAGTTTCTTATTTTCCTAAAGTGGTCATCTTTGTTTTTTTTTAGAGACAGAGTCTCAGTTTGTCGCCCTCAGCAGAGTGCTGTGGCGTCACAGTTTACAGCAACCTCCAGCTCCTGGGCTTAGGTGATTCTGTTGCCTCAGCCTCCTGAATAGGTGGGACTACAGGTGCCCACCACAACGCCTGGCTATTTTTTTTTGTTGCAGTTTGGCGGGGGCTGAGTTCAAACTGGGTTACAACCCTTCACCCTCAGTATATGAGGCCAGCGCAACTTGTGTGATATTTGCTCCGTTTCATCTTTTGCAGTACCCAAATCTGACTGTTAACTGCACTGGAGAAAGAGTCTGAAGAAAGTGAGTTATACCAGGTGCACTGACTTTTTTTTATAACTTCTTCTACATCGGCAAACATGGCCTAGTAAATGACCTGCACACTGTAACCTTGTAACAGCTGCACTGACTTTTTCCTGTGATTACTTCTACGTTAGCAAACATGATCTGCACTCTGATCAGTCTGATTAGTAACTTTTCCATTTGTTAGCTGGGGATGAAACTTTCCTTTCCTAGATGTTCACATCAGTTTTCTTAGTATTTCCATGAAAATATTTCATAAAAATAAATAGACATTAAAATTCTCCACAGTGATTTAATGACAGGTTATTTATTAAATGCCCTTGAACATTTGTCAGCTTTTTTCTTTTCTTTTTTTTTTTTTGAGACAGAGCCTCAGGCTGTCGCCCTGGGTAGAGTGCGGTGGCATCACTGCTCATAGCAACCTCCAACTCCTGGGCTTAAGTGATTCTTTTGCCTCAGCCTCCCAAGTAGCTGGGACCACAGACACCCACCACAACGCCTGGCTATTTTTTGGTTGTAGTTGTCGTTGTTTGGCAGGCCCAGGCTGGATTCGAACCTGCCAGCTCTGGTGTATGTGGCTGGCACCTTATCTGCTTGAGCCAAGCTTTCTTTCTTTAAATTATTGATTCGGTTTTTGGCAAATTAATATTTAATGGTTCCAATTTAGAATATTTAAGTTGAGATAATGATATATTAAGAAGCTAAAGGAGTAAAAGTAAATAGAACTGAATAAATTTAAAGAAAGAAGTATAAAACTTATACTGAAACTATAAAACATTGTTGAAAGAAATTAAGGAAGACCTAAATAAATGGAAAGACATTCTGTGTTAATGGATTGGAAAACTTAATACTGTTAAGTATTAGGTAAGAGTCAATATTCTCTAATTTGACCTATAGATTTAATGCAATCCTCATAAAAATGCTAATTGGCTTCTTTGTAGAAATTTATGTGGAAGTTCAAGGGACCCAGAATAGCCAAAACAATCTTGAAAATGAAGAACAAATTTGAAGGACTCACATTTTCTGCTTTCAGAACTTACTACAAAGGTGTAATTATCCAGCTTGTGTGCTACTGGCATGGGGATAGACATACAGTGAGGTAGAACTGGAAGTCTGGAATTAAACTCATATGTCTATGTTCAGTTGATTTTTGAAAGGGTGCCAAAACTATTCAGTGAGGAAAGAATAGTTGTTTGAATAAATGATGCTGGGACAGCTGGATAGCCACATGCAAAAGAATGAATTGGACCCCTGCCCCACACCATACAATAAATTAACTCAAAATGGGTTATATACGTAAATGTAAGTGCTAAAACCATAAAATGCTTAGAAGAAAGCATAGGTGTAAATATTCTTGATCTGGAATTAGGCAAAGACATCTGCGTATGACATTAAGAGCACAAGTGACGAAAGAGCAAATTGATAAGTGGGACTTTATCAAAATAATAAACTTTTGGCTCGGCGCCTATAGCTCAACCGGCTAAGGCGCCAGCCACATACACCTAAGGTGGTGGGTTTGAATCCCCAGCCCGGACCCGCCAAACAACAATGATAGCTGCGACCAAAAAAAAATAGCCGGGCGTTGTGGCGGGCGCCTGTGGTCCCAGGTACTTGGGAGGCTGAGGCAGGAGACTCGCTTGAGCCCAGGAGTTGGAGGTTGCTGTGAGCTGTAATGCCACGGCGCTCTGCCCAGGGGGACAGCTTGAGGCTCTGTCTCAAAAAAAAAAAAAATAAAAATAATAAACTTTTGTGCTTCAGTGGACACCACCAAGAAAGTGAAATGACTGTCCACAGAATGGAAGAAAATATTTGCTAAACGTGTATCGTGTAAATGACTAATTTTTAGACTATACTTAAAATAACTTGTATAACTCAGTAATAGAAAATCAACCCAGTTAAACAGTGGGCAGAGTGCCTGCTAAGGGGAAGAGGGTTCTTTTTGGGATGGTGAATTGTGTGTGGCGAATTGTGGTGTTGGTTGCACAACTCTGTGTACATAGTGAGTAGCACTGAATTATATGCTTTAAATGTGTAAATTGTATGGTCTATGAATATTTTAACAGCTTTTATATTTTTAAAAAAGAAAGCAGGACTATATATCTATAGAAGGATAGAAATTATGTGAGAACTATGTGGAGGAAATAACTTTATTCCAGAAATTAAAGTGAAGGTTGATGAAAGTGAAGCTTCAGATAAGGAAGGAAAACTTTATTTTGTGGTCAATAAATATTACTTTCATCAAAAACCTAGAAACCCCCCCCCCATATGATGAAATGAACATAAATGAGATGCCCGTACATGCTGGTAGAAGATAATTCATGCCAGTTCACTTTCCCCTTATGGAGTTAAAAAGTTGCTGTCAGATTTTACTAAGGCAGGACAGATGAAATAAAACACTCAAACTAGGGCCAAATCTATCTAAAGTGACCTTAAAACTTAAGAAGACTTCAATTGCAGCAAATTCTGAAACAAGAACAAAGTGTGGTTTGTAGATTCGTGTAATTTTAGGCTTTGTTCTAGTCACTATGGCTGTGTGTATAATTTACCCTTAAATAATCGTTTATTTTGTTTATGCATTTTGTGGGTCTGGACTTAGAGCAGCATCTGGTGCTGATGTCTCCTGTGCTTGTGATATCTGAGGTCTTAGCAGACTCAGAGGCTTGAGGCTTGGGTCAGAACCATTGGAAGGCATGCTCAGGCCCATGTTTGGTTGGTGGACTCTCTCTGTGGCCTCTGCATATCGGCTGGTTTGGCTTTCTCACATGCATCTGGGTTCCAGGGTAAGAGCGAGAGCAGAACAGACCGTTCTGTCTTTTATCATGTGTCTTTAGGAGTTGCACATTGTCCCTTCTGCTGCATTCTATCCATTGGAGTTGTCACAATGTCCTGATCAGATTCATGTGGAGGAAAACAATCTCTAGTTCTTGATAGAGAGGAGCAGCGTTCTAGGAGCACATACAATACTCTGCGGAAATGTCACTCTGGCTGCTCCAGACCTGGAAGGGGCCCTTGGAGGCAGCTGGTTAGTTCTGTCATTTTATAGACAGGAGACTGAGGCTGTGCAGAGCTGGCAGCATGGCCATAGTTGCAGTCTCTGGTCAGTGTCTAGGCTGGGACCAGAACGTAGCTCTTCTGACTCTGACTCAATGGCAGGGTCTTTCCCAGGAGACCCCCCACTCCTCTTTCCTAATCACGTAGTTCTTTCGCTCATGCCATGGGTGTTCCTCAGGTCTCCTTAGATTAGCCGACAGGATAGCATGGGCGAAACCAATAGCTGAGTGCTGGCATGAGGGGGCAAGCAGGAGTTTCCTAACCCTTCTCTCCATTAAAAAGGATTTTTAAAATTGACTTTCTGTTTTTGTTTTATCAGCAGAAGGCCTAGTTGACGTGTTGTGTGTTGTGGCAACACAGTGGAACGGAGTCGCTTCCTAGTGTTTAGAAACTAAATGGTGAATCTAGTTGAGGATTTTTATTTGTGCTTTTTTCAGGTGCTCAGAATTTTGATGTCATACGACTGTCAACGTACAGAACAGCCTGCAAATTACGATTTGTTCAAAAACGATGCAACCGTAAGTGATTTTTACTCATTGCTGTGATAGCTGGTTCAAGTTCTCAGTATTGTAAAATGACAGATTTTAGTACCTTTTAGTCATAAGGTTAATTGAATTATTTTTGTCTCAAGTATTTATCAGAATGTAAGACTTGTAATGGAAAGAACTTGTCAGTTTACTTCGTTGTCCCTCAACATGTTTAACAAACTCAATAATGTTAACTAGTCTTTTTTTTTGAGACAGAGCCTCAAGCTATCCCCCTGGGTAGAGTGCTGTAGCATCACAGCTCACAGCAACCTCTAACTCCTGGGCTCAAGTGAGTCTCCTGCCTCTGCCTCCCAAGTAGCTGAGATCACAGGCACCTGCCACAATGCCCAGCTATTTTTTGGTTGCAGCTGTCATTGTTGTTTCGGTGGGCCCGGGCTGGATTTGAACCCCCAACCTTAGGTGAATGTGGCTGTGCCTTAGCACTTGAACCACAGGCGCCGAGCCATGTTAACTAGTCTTAAAGCTAGCATAGTATTAATATTCTTTAGATAGGAGAATTGATTTTTCCCTGCCACTTTTACTAAGGAAATGTTTTCTTTTCTTTTCTGTTTTTAATTTCAGGTTAACATGAGAGGACAAACAACCAGGTTACAATGTTTGCCTTTGTTAGGTAGAGTCCCTCTTGTAGTTGTGTCCTGCACCCAAGTGATGTGCTATGTACCCTTACATTGTTCCTGTTAAGTGGGAGCACACCAATCCCTCTTCCTCCTCTCTCCTCCCCCAAAGAAATGTTTTATACAAAATTAATACAATTTATCAGCTTCTGAAGGGAAAGTCAAACATTAATATTATAGGTAAGGATATAATAAGAATTAGGGTTTTTTTTAATTAAACTTAATATATAACATGAATTAGTCTGTTTTAATAATATAAATGTGGTAGTAATTGCTACCACATGAATTATAAAATAAAGTGTGTGTGTATATTAATATATGTATATTTGTATATATGTAATCTTTCTTAATTTCCATGTAGATGAACTTAGGGCGGAATTATTGTACTTTTCTTGTGTGTGTATTAATGAAAAACTGTTTTATATAATGGAAAGAACCTTAACCTTAGAATTGAAAAACCTCAATTTTAGACTTGGTTTTGCTATTTGTTATAATCAAGTGACTTTGGGCAAGTCACTTTATGTCTGGTAACTTGTACCTTACTTTAAATCTTAAAAATCCTGGCTCAGCGCCTGTGGCTCAAGCTGCTAAGGCGCCAGCCACATACACCTAAGGTGG